AACTGGTGTTTGAAGAAGATATTAGAGATTTTTTGATAGTTAATTGAAGTCCAGAATGACTTTACAAACTCATCCAGTGAGGAAAAACAAATAAACAAAAAAAGCATATGAATTTCAAAGTAAGTAAGTAATGTATTAAAGGAAAAAATGATGCTGAATATTTTATACTGGAAAGAATAGATGTTTGTTTGTTACTTTTGTTTTTCTTTTTGTAAGGAAACCACTCACTTGAACAGTCTCTCGCACTAATCTGCAAATTTACTTAAGCAGTTGATTAGGTGGTAAGGTCCTTATATGGTCTGGATTGATGACTTTCTCCACTTCAAGGTACACTCTTTTTTCAACGCAGCAACTGGAGCAAAGATGAACAGACATGCGGAAAAAAATTTGGAGATCTGCAAATCGTTTGCAAATCTTTTTTTCAGGCAGGTTTGGCATGACATTATTTCTGTCAAAAAGGTGAGACAGACAAGAAAAACCCTTGAAATCTCCCATTTTGAGGAAAATGGTGATGTACTCTCTCTTAATGGTACACAAGTGCTGACTGTGTGTGCCTCTAAGCAATCTGCGTCTCTAAGCTGTCCAGGTTGAAGGACTGAAGAGAGCAGGATTCCGAAAGTAACAATTACCTTTATTTTCTTGAATCAGCACATACTGCCAGCAGCTGCACTCATCTGGCTGACAGTCACGCCTAAGCGCTGCACACGCATTATGGTGATACAGCCAGCAGCTGTTTGCCCATGCAGGCTAATTGTCATAATATCACTAATTAACTGAACACACTGCGAGGAGCTCAAGTGTTTCTCCTTAAATCTTAGGCTCCTCAGTAATTAAAAAAAAAAAAAAAAATCAACAATGAGTTAAAGACCCAAAAAGCTGCGTGGCTACATCCTGTGAAAACTGACCTGTTACATATTGGCCATATGTGATTATCAAGTCAACACTATTGTTATTCTTCCTTTTTTTTTTTTCTTTTTCTTTCTTTTTTTGCCACTGTCTACACAACTTTGGAAACTCAACTTATAGTATCTCTGCTTATACAGGAGAGTTTAAGTGTCAACCCAGAATGCTAATCCCAGTGGGCTAGGCTGTATCCAAATCCCATGCTACATGATAGAAAAATGTTTTTGTTATACTAATCTAGCAACATCCATCACATACTCACTGTGTGATTTGTTCTGGAGTGGCTGAGATATTAATAAATTATAAATAAAGCTTTGCAACTTTTGTAACAGGGCAGTTTACAGAGGAAACTATATTACTGTGCTCTATGTAGATGCAATGCATACAAAAAAATTTCTAATCCACAGCCCTAGCTTGGAGTTCATTCATAACTACCACTCACTCCATGCTTTTATCAATATTTACTACAAGATAGTTCACTTGAAAACCTAGATAGGTTAGACTGTGTCTCCAGGTGAGTCAATAAAACCCTTCTGGCAGGCAGTAAAACCACAACAGCATAAAAAGGCTTTCTACCTTCTGGGAAGTTTGTGGTCTCTTTTGAGTTTACAGTTATGTCAGAGATGATGATGTAAATGATCCCCTCACTACTTGTCTGAAGACAAGATAATATGGTTAGGGTGTTTATGTATGCTTTCATTGTTACAATAAATGCTTCCTAAGTCTACAGCAGAGAACCAACCTAAGTCTACTACCAGAGAACTGGTGAAGCTGCAAGAGAATAATGCTGGCACAGAACAAGGAGTATCAGAGGCAGCTGCACTACAGTCCGAAACAGTTTCTCAAGCTAAGTATGGAAGCCTAAAGACTTTCTGACCAAAAAATAAGCAGCTCACCTGCAGCAGAAGGGAGGTGGTTGTCCCTGCCTTTCTCAGCCAGCACCCAGGGACTGAGCCATCCTCCTTTCTAGACAAGAATCCAACTACAAAAGGAATCAAGGACACATGAATTTTTTTGGTCTGAGCAAAAAGACAAAGGGACAGTGCTCTGCAGAACTACAACGTCAAATCATCAAATCAATTCTCCCCTCCTCACAATGCTTAGGGCTGATTATGAAAAATGAACATTAAAAATAAAAGAACTTAGTATTCATACAGCTTTCTTAAAATCCAATTCAAACTCTCTCTTACTCAAGAGAAAAGATGAGTTGCCCATCTTTCTCAAAAGAACATGAGTTCATTTTGCAAATGCAAAACAAAGAATTCCAGGAGGCAGAGGCCTGACCTTGGGCTGCGGTGCGGCACTGACCATGTCACCAGAATGGAATGGAATAAACAATTCTGTTGACAAAGCACTAAAGGGAATATAATCGGGCTCTGTTCCACTTAACTGTGGTTCTGCAAGACTAACGAGAGTGTAAGCTATTTATTTTTGTCAGTCACATGGGCACATACAATCCTGAATCAACACAGGAAAGGAATCAATTGAACAGGATCTTTATTATTGTTATTTTGGGGTGACACTTTGGGAGACCAAAAAGTGAGGCATACCCACATGAAATGCCAGGTAAAATAAAGAGCTGTGTAAATGTGAAGATTTCCTTTTGTCTTTGAGAAAAGAAAGTGAAAACCCTTTTCTGAAGAACAAGCTAATGAAATGTGTGACAGGATCCGCCTGTGTGATACTTCTCCTCCTAACCTCTTGAATCTGCCTCTGGACAGATGCCATGTTTTTCGGATTTTTTTTCCTGATATTAAAAATCTTCACAAAGACTGTACACTAATCTGGTAGCAGTTACAGGAATATTCTATTAGAACATCTTATGTACCAGAGCATCTAAGAAATCAAAACTGCTGAGGTAAGCACAAGTTACAAAGACGTGGCCTCAGCCACGCTGTGCTGCTCTCCACAGGGGCCTCAGTCTACATATGCATTATTTGGGGGCTGAACTACCTAAGCATTATGCTCATATGTGATCTTCATGTCATATACATAAATAATATTAACATAGTTTATCAATCTTATATAAGAATATCTAAAGTTTAAATCCTTTCGATTCCTAAAAAAGGAATTAGGGTTTAATTCCCAAATGGTGAGAAAAATTTCTCTTTGCTTTACATTTTACTGAAGTCTGGGCCTGCAAGGCTTTTAGAAAACATTCTTCAATAGTGCCAGCTCAGCAGGTAAATAGTTTTATGTTCATGCAGCTTGTGACTTCATCATATTAAAATACACAAATAGTATTTACATCGTATTTCCCTTGGCTGAATGGGATGACAAGTATTCCTGAGAATAATGGTTACCAAGAAATTATTTAATAAAGGTGATCACAGTTCCAATAATTGCACATCAACACTTCTCCAAATCATGATGGCTCATCTCGCTATCTTATAAAGATGTTAGGAAATGCACAAAACCCACTAAGATAGACTCAGATAGATACCGTTTCCCACCCTTCCTCATGATACAAATCCATCTCAGCATATGTAAATCTGATTCTAAAATCATTTCCTTCATTCAGAACATAAATACTGTAAAACATGCCACTTTTGCCAAATGATTTCTGCAAAAAAAAAAAATTGTGTAAATATCAAAGAGATGTAGGGCAGAAGATTATTTTTATTGTGAATGATCAGCAATACTACCAGATTTAAGGAGCTGCTCCATGATGTTTATAAACACTGTCTAGATACATTTGTTCTAGAAGACTTTAACTAAAATTAGAAAGAAAGCTTTCTGTGCCCTTTCTAGAAGAAAAAATGTAAACACAGAAATAGACTAAAATATTTCTTCCCATATAGAAACATACAAAAAAAACCTGAAATTGGCTTGAAATAAGAAAGACTCCAACTGAGAGAATCTATATCCTCTGGAGTTCAGAACTCTTGTGAACACAGGACGTTACCAAATATTAAAAGGTCAGAATTCTATCGACACCAGGTGAGAAACCAGTGAGCATCCAAACTGTCTTTCCAGCAGCGTGTGTGTATGTATTAAAGCTACATATAAGCACTCAGTCAGGAAAAGCTTAATACTTTTAGAGAAACCGGTGTCTTTTTCAAAAAAGAAAGCTGCTTTTCAATTAAGAAGCTATGAATGGGAATTTTTTTAAAGATGGATTTTACACATTAAAAAGTAAACCCTGCCCTTTCCCCTTAGGCAGGATCTGCAACACTAAACCACTTTGTTCTTTTCCTTTTGCTCAAGGAAAAGGAAGAATTCCGAGAAGACCTTACTGGTGTTAGAAAGAGTGAATGAATGACTTTAGATGCCTTTAGAACAGACGTCTCCCTGATCTGCCATTCAGCCGCATCTTATTTCACTCAGTAACATTTCTCTAACGCATCAAAATCATTTTGAAGTCTAGCTCAGTCCTACACAGCATCTGCAGCCTTTCTCAGTATCATATGTCCACATATTTCTACTAGATAACGTTGTTTACATTAATCTAGAAGGTAAAACTTACACAAATCACAAAAACATTTGAAAACATCAACACATAAACACAGCACTGGAGAAGACCAAAGCTGTAAAGAATATCAGAAAAAGAATCACCGCTGAGCCCTGACTTCAGTGTCTAGTACTTCCCTGCAATGAAGGTGAAGATACAACATATTGAAAATAACAGAATTATTTGCATCCAATTTTGAAGAATCTTTAAAGGGAACTTCTAATTGCTTAGATAAAATGAAGTAATGAGATATATAAGCTTTACTTTTCATTTAAAAAAAATTCAAAGTGACAAAGAAGCAAGTCAATTGACACTAAGTCTATAAATTAAAGATTCAATAGACCTGCATTAAAACCTTCAAAGAACAAAAATCACATAAGCAGTGGGATCCAATTACAAAATCAATATAGTTTTATTCAGTGTTTCCTGTTATCCATTGATGAAAATACTCAAAAGAAAAACTTTATTGATCTGGTAATAAGGTTAACACGTCTAACACTGAAATTCAGATCATTTTGTAATTCTCTCTTTCTTTAGCTCCTCAAATATTATTTTCCTAGTCTCAGAAGAAACAGAACATCTCCTATAAAGAGAAATAACTTAGAAGAAGTTAAAAATCCCAACCCCAATATCAGAAGCATATTACCTCATTGCATTTACTTATTCGCCTTGCCACAATAAGCTGAATCATTCCTCGTTTGTTTCCTTCAGTGGACATGGATCTTCTTAAAGTTTCCATAGCGTCTTGATTTGTTTTGCCTAGTAATGATTCTCCATTTACTGCTATTAGTTGATCGTTCACTCGAAGCCTGCCATCCTGGAAGGGAAAAGTTATCGTCAGTCACACAAAATATGCTATGCAGAAGTGTAGTCTGATGGAGAGAGGGGAAAAAATGAAAAAGAATCAAACTATACTAAGACCGAACAGTTTATAGCCAAGAGGACACTCATGTTACAGCTTCTATTGCAGTTGTCATAGGAAATGTGTATTCCAACCATTCACTGATTTGCACTCAAGCCATTACCATAATCTGTTTGAGTAAATAGCATTCTAAATGAACTGCACCAGAGATGCTTGTGTCCTACCTGGAATCTTTAAAAGCTGTTAAAATCATCCAGTACTAAACAAGACGTTTCGTAGAAATTGAAATGTTACCTCCAATGGCACAATTAAAAAATGTTAGTTAAAGAGCAATCTCATTTCTGTACATGTGGTTATTTTCAAAATAGCATAATAATGGAAAACAGAGGAAGACAAAGCACAGAGATGTTCCTTCTTACCTTGGATGCTGCTCCACCGTTAATGATGGACTTGACAAAGATTCCTAAATCGGCATGATTTTCTTTTGACCGATTCCCTTTGACACTCACACCAAGTCCAGCTGATCCAGAGTCATTAAGTGGAACTTCAAATGTCAGGAATTCCCTGGTGCCATCAGGTGTGAGAACAAGCTCTTCTTCTTCTGCTTTCTGTCAGGAAGATTAACATGGGATTACAGAAGAGCATTTCTCCTCAGGAATTCTCTTTCTTCCACAGCTATTAGCATTTAAAAAAAATGCTTTCAACTGCATTGACACAATATTTTCCACAGTAATTATTTGAAAAAACATGAACAAATAGTGTATTTTCAATCACCTCCAGCTGATGCCTGGAATCAGAAATATCTTATGTTTGTGTCTAAGTGCTTCTCTGTCTAGTCAAATAATTGAATAGTATGCCATTACTGAATGTGTCATTAGTGCCAACACACATAAACTATTTCATTAGCCAAAAAAAGCCATATCTGAAATATTTTGTGATTTGACTACTTACAGAATTTTTAAAATCATAATCATCATAATCCGTGGTATCTTTGTGATTCATGGGGAGAAACTACTTGCAAGAAAATTAATTTCAAAAATTATTCAGTTCCCTCATTTTGTTTAAAACTAGCTGTATTAGGAAAAACAGAAAATCACACAGCTGAGATCTGAACGACACATCTCTGCTATTGCCAGGCTTAGTGTCAAATCCAGTTCAGCATGCCAATTTTCCCATCTTTTCTGGCTCTTCCCTTTTCCTCTGTCATTCTACTCACATCTTCAGTTCTTTACTGCTCTCCACGCTGTTTTAGCTTCACTAGGACAATCCCAGATTTTGAACACCTGGAATTATAATCACAGTCCAGCCAGTGCCCCTGGCAAGGAGCTGTCAGGGCACTCCAATACCACCAAAAGCCATGAAGGGAAGGTGAGTGCCCTTTCGCTTCATCTCCTGCTGAACTGGTGGCCCAGCAAATGCCTTGGAGACAGGTTGGAGCAGGGTCCCTGGCAAGCTCCAAAAGAGCAGTGGCACTTGTGAGGGCAGCAGGTGTGGACATGGTATTCAACAGACGATGGAGAGACCAAAGTGCACTGTTCATTTATCACCCACATGAAGAAGCAACAGTAAGAGAACATCCACCATAATGTCCAGTAGTCAGTAGTTTGTCTCTGCCCAATATTTTCATAATCTTGGCAAAAAAAGATTTACTAAAATCACCTCTCTTTTTTACTCTGATTTTACACCCATTTTTCCCATGTTGCTCTCATCTCTTTGCAGAACTCGCTCCTATTTCTTTCTACCCTCAGACAATTGAAGCAGGACAAGATGCACCACAAGTTAACTTTTGCTTGCTGAGCCATCCCTGTCTCTAAGATCTGAGGAAATGCAAAGCTGACAGGCTTTTCTGAAATCCAAACACAGACTACTACAGAGATGGATGTGAAAGCCATGTCGAGTACAGTAGACTGCGATTATCAGTTTGGGCAAAACATGCTAGTTTTGTCACCACTGACCTAGAAATGCAATGCAAAAATGTCATATGGGAAGGAAGTCAGATTGTTGAGAGCACTGGAACAGCCAGGGGAAGGAAAACAGGAGCTCTGTCTTTTCCCATTTGGTTAAAAGCATGAGCCTTAATGTGTTCACCAGCTCTTTTCACTGCATTGCACACACACATGTAACCATCTCTTGGTTATAACAAAGCGTACTACAAACTTAATATCCCCCTCTCCAAGTACCAGATCAGCTTGCTGATGAATCCCATTATCCAAACATATCTCTTGGCTGTGCAAATGAGCATTATCTGTGCTTGCCATCAGGAGTGGAAATATCTTCTGTGTGTATGGAAAAAATATTGGATTTAAAACATAATCTTCAGGTTTTGGCAAAACTGCAACCCTAATTTTCCTGTTTGAATCACAAAACCACTAGCTACAAGATACAGTTGAGATGCACTTTTTGTCAGATAGCTGCAGAATAAAGCAATCTGAGACAGAAACATACTACTTTTGATTTTTTTATAACACTGATTGCTTTCATTTTCATTAACAAATAATAGCAGGACAAAGAGCTAGGGAGCCGAAAGGGAGATAAAGCCAAGGCAGGATGCATTGGTACTCCAAACCACACAAGCTCACTAGATTATTCTTCACTACTGTTATTATAAGTTTACAATCAATTCTCCCTTCCTCAATGTTTTCTAATGCTCTAAAAAGTACACAAGCATTTCAGCCACTTTGCAGTGTAGGCCACTGAACTGCTTCTCCTCACGCTCTGTTGGGTACAGTTCCAAACGTCCATGGGCCCACTGGAGCACCTCCATCAGTGTCTCCATTGAATGGACTAATGGCCTCGGTCCTTCTCCTCACTGAACCCAAAGAGCTGCTCTGTCAGCTCAGTCCTGCTCATAATGTGGTTCTTCCGTTGTCTATTTTCTACAGAACTTAAACAAGGAAACAATCCAGTGACAACACAGAGCTGGAGAGCCTGAGTGTGGAGATGCCCCACCACTTCTGCTAGAAGCACACTGGAGAAAAATATGGCATTTGAAAAGTGAACCTTTAGGATCCAAGAACTATGGATATTAAAGTACAGACTCACAGCATTTGTGCCACATCACAGTACCAAAGAAGGTCCACCTGTATGTCATACATTGAACACAAACTGTATTTCATGCAAAGCACGGGAAAGGACTACATATTTGTCAGAAAACTTGAGGTGTGAACAAAGGGAGGCATTTTCTGAGAAATAAACAATGAGATTTCAGCCTGACACTGATATTTTGAACCAAAAGTCGTGATAAATATATACATAAATGAATAAATATACAAATACATTAAGATTGACCGAATCCTTTTTAACCAAAGTGCTTTACATTACAGAAATACTAAATAGGCACTGATTCTCCCCAATAATTAAATATCTACCTCCATAAGGAAAAATTTACATCGAAATTGTACTGCATGATAAGAATATAAATGCAATAAACTACAGAAATTCTCCAATACATCCATGAAACAGAATAAAAATGCACAGAAATCTAAAATGCATCATTTAAAAATTTACACTGAGAACACAATCACTTCCTAATTGCAATAACTTCCATTTGATCTTGATATACTCTAAATTAACATCTTAACTGTGTCAATCAAACACCTCAACACTATTTTCATGATTAGTTGATCTGTGGGAGAAATTTATTGCTTCATATACCTTGACAGACCAGAAGTAAACATGCAAGAAAAATTATGTACTATGAACCCTCAGCACAAAACTCAACTCCCTTGAGATTTTTCACACACTACATCCAAAACAATTAACAGCAGAACAATATTCTGTTCAGACAGAGTCTGCTAAGGAAAAGGTCATCTGAAATGACTTCAGCTGGATGAATGAAGCTGCTCAAGTATGTAATTTGTAATAAAAATTCGATTGGTGATAATTTATATAGGTACCTTTTTTTTTTTGGCTTCAAATTCATACTTAGCATCAATTTATGCTAGATGACATTGAAGATACATTTTTCACTTTTTAAATGCAATGTAAATATAACATAAATTTAAAGATAAACTTACTGACTAGAACAAAATGATGACGATGTTTGAGATATGCAGAGATTAAAGAAAGATAAAGGGAGGGAAAATTTATTACCCTTCCATATAAAATCAGTTTCTGATCACATTATAAAATCTGATATAATTTTATAATTAACATAAAAATGGACTTTGACAGTAACAGTGTAATACGCTTATTGCATCTTGTTAGTAACAGCATCTACTACTGTCCATTTACGTTTTAAAAGCTACAAAGAAATTTTGTGCTTGGGACTTCTTCCCTTGATAAAATCTCATCAGGGTTCAGCTGGTGAATAAACAGCATGAGATGGGTGAAAAAAGAAAGCTAACAAAAAAGAAAAGCCTCCTCCCACCTAACGGGGGAAGCAATTTTCAATCAAGCTGGGACAGGTTTTCAAAGTGGCTCGCTGCAGCTACAAATCCGGCTGCGTTCTCTACAGAGAAGTTCATTCTCTTGCAAGCTTAGACATGCAGACTTCTCAGCAGCCACTGGGCCACTGAAACTTGTCTGCAAGTTACTTGTGATTGCATAGAGAGAAAAGAAGTCAATCATGGGACTCTGAGCAAAAAACAGCACTTTGCTGTTTTCACTCCCAGAAGCCAGTAACAGAGCTGAATCCCACACTTAGAGGGTAACTATCTTTCAGAGTTATGTATACAACAGAAGTGGGAACAGTTGCAGGGCTCCTGTATAAACACCTACATGGCTGTACAACAGCAAACACATTCTTTCTTATGTGATGATTATATTGATGTGATAAATTAAGTAACTAGAGCACAAACCCCACTAAATAACTCTAATGACCTCATCAGTATTATCCATTTTGCCTGCCCCTAAATCCTTCTGTGCCCAGTCTTGTCACAGTGCAGCCCTAAGCCTCTGCTTAATTTTTATTTTGTTATCCTATCCACCTCACAAATGTGTCATTCTTTTTTTATTTGAAGTTTGAGTTTTCATGGACCTCCAAGAGCTCACCAAGTCTAAGAATTGTATGTTATAAAAGGAATGGAATATACGAAATCACAGATGTATTCATTTGGTTCCAATAATGGGCAGCCAGACTAAAGTCACAGCCTTTTCCTGGATATTTAAAATCTTTAGAGGATCTTAAAACAGCATTCATTGTTTATTCCTTTCTAAAAGAGTACCAGTAAAAATGAGAAATCATAAATCCTGTATGTTAGGATACAATTAGGGTATGTCAGTAAAATTTGTCTCAGTACTATTAGAACAGAACAAAATTCTTATTTTGAAATTAACATTGTACTTGCGGGAGAAAGATGTCTATTAGGTATTACACAGATGTTCTTGACCTCAGAGATAGTTCTAATTGTTTTGTCTTTCAAGTTAAGTAGGTGACATTGCTGCCACATCAGGTAACCTTCTGAACTGAAATACACCAAAACATGATGAAACTCACCTTTATCATATGTTATCACATAAACATCCAACATTTATATTGAGCAGCCCTAAGGAACCAAAACAACAGCTCCATTGATCAGCAGCTGTTTTGTGGGGGCCAATGTTTGGTCCTTTTAAAAATACAGATGTATTACTGCTAGAGGTACCGAAAACAGAGCAGCGTAGGTGG